ATTCGAGAGGAGTCTGGAGTCCTAACACTGGGCGTTCAAGCGATCCTCATTCTGGAACACAAAACCACATTTTATGGAGTGTGCCTGGTTCTCAGCGTTGACTTTTGCGGGAGCAAAACCTCCGGAGAACACTCAGCATCACTCACAGCACACTGCTCCCTGGACGCCAGCTCCTGTGTCCCCAGGGAATCAAAGCGGTCACCCAACGAGTTCTCCCCCCAGAAAACACTTCTTCCGTGCAACCTGACTACTTGGGATGCTGATGTTTTCCGCTGGTGCTGACGGAAATGTTTCCTTAAAAAATAAGCTCGATGAAATCAAAAGGAAAGACAACCTTAGAGATTGTTAAGTCTTCTACCCTTTGATTCAGTTTTTCGAATGAGGAAGGGGGCCGGAGAAGGCTGGGCCTTCGCTCCCTGTGTCTGGGCCTCCTCTTGTCCGCCACACGGTGAGCACCGCGTCAGAGCAGCTGGAAGGTCCTGTCTGCCTTCCGGGGTCAGAGTTCGTGGGGGGGTGGTCTTCTCCATTGTTTAGGTTCCCCTTGGAGGTGCTCCTGGTCGTTCTGCTCCCTACACTGCCTTGTCACGTGACTTCCACATCCCTGTCCACCTGCTCCGTAAGCTCCATGCCTGTCCTGTGCATCGTGGAACCCAGCTCCTGCCTGTGTCCCACACGCACTAGAAGTGCTCAATAACACTTGACCTTGAGTAGCACCAAACCTAAGTTGTGGCACATGAGCGTGTGCCCTTTGCCCTGTGCCAGCTGCCGTCAGCGTGGCAGTTCCTGACAAGGAAGATGGTGCTGTCGTCAGGTAGGGTTGGTCCAACAGAAGTCATGAGTCAGAGGAAGACGAGGAAGATGGCGTGCAGGGCGGTGTCTGCTGACAATACCTACCTTTTTTAATCAAAAAGCCAAAGTTCATCCATTTGAACAGTGCAGGGATCCTGCACACTCAGTTTCTCAAAACGGCAAGTGCTCTGGACAGCTGGTGGAGGTCAAGGTCCAGCACTCGGACGTGTGCTTTGGACTTTGCAACACTCTTAGGCTCACACCGGCGCCCGTCAGGTTGCTGGCCCAGCCACACGCCTCTCAGGACGCCTTAGCATGTAGATCTGCATAGGAATCTCTGCGTGGCCTCTCCATGCTGTGGGCGGAGCCTCAGCGGCTTGTCTCCAGAACGGGCTCATTGTAAACCAACATGTGCTCGCTCCGGAGGACTCACAGGGGTCTCAGGAGCGCAGCACTCAGGGCAGGAACACACTGAGGCCTGCACCTGGGAGACGGGAACCTTCTGTGGCTGTCGTCACTGCTGCTGGCAGAACTGGGATTCACGCTCTACCCTGGAAGACCCTTGGTGCCCCCGGGGGTCTCTGCATAGACCGAGGACTGGAGAGGCCCCACCCCCCAGGATCAGTGATTGACATGAGCTGAGCACTTGTTCCTGTGGTGGGCTTGAAGACAACCAGGTGAGTGGATCACTCCGCTAGGGACAAGGTTAACACAAAAATTGACCCTTCTGGTGGGAGGGGCTAGGACTGAAAGGTAGATGAGTTTTTCATTATTAAAACAGTTTGTTTAAAGTGAGTGATCGTAAAACACAATGCATTTCACCTGAAGTTTTCTTTTTTAAAAAATTATTTATTTATTCACTTGAAACTCAGTTACAGAGAGAAGGAGAGACAAGAGCAAGAGAGAGAGAGGTGTCTTCCATTTCCATCACTCCATGATGGCCAGAGCTGGGCCAGGCCAAAGCCCGCAGCCAGAAGCTGCATCCCGGTCTCCCATGGTGCCCATATGGGATGCCAGCAGCTCAGGCAGCAGCTTTGCCTGCTATGCCAACAATGCCAACCCCCAATTTTCTTTTTTGCTAAACATTTAAGCATTTTGAAAACAAAATTTTCATAATTTGAAGCCTGACATGAATATAATTTTTTTCTGCTAAGCTAGGATATTGTCTGGAATTCTAACAGTTATTGTAGCTATGAGAGTGAATTTTAAAATGCATGCATGATTTCTTTTTAAAAAAAAATGTTTACTTACTTAATTTGAAAGGCAGAGTTATGGGGGGCAGGAGGGAGGGAGAGAGAGAAAGAGAGGGAGATGGAGAGGGAGAGAGAGAGAGACAGAGAGACAGAGAGACAGAGAGAGAATTCCATCCACTGGTTCGCTCTCCAGATGGCCGCAATAGCCAGGGCTGGGCCAGACCAAAGCCAGGAGCCAGGAGCTTCATCTGGGTCTCCCAAGCGGGTGAGAGGGGTCCAAACACTTGGACCATATTCTGCCACTTTTCCCAGGCCATTAGCAGAAAGCTGGATCAGAAGAGGAGCAGCTGGGACAGGAACCAGCTTCCATATGGGCTGCTGGCATCACAGGCAGAGGCTTAATCTGCCACACCACTACACCAGCCCCTAAGCATGATTTCCTGATAATCACATTTTTCAGAATCTTTTTGAAGACCCTTCTTATGTATGGGTTGCAAAATTTTCTGCACCAAAATCATCTTTTAATTCCATTTTCCATGAGCTTTCTGAAGTGCCCTTGTGTTGGGAGTCATGAGCAGCTTGGTGACACCCAGTAGGAGGTGCATGCAAAGCAGGGTGGGGGCTCTCACACCTGCACCCCAGGGCCTCCCATGCCACCTGCATAGGGTGCTGGCGTTTCATGGAATCTCCTGTGTCTCAATGCACCCTCCAGAGCCAGAGTGAGTCCCGGTCACTAAGGTCCAGAGGCCTCCTCTGTGTGTGCTGTCGAGGGAGGACCCCGGGTGAGGTCCCTGCCCACCTCTGCTTGCACCGTGTTCACTCTCCTGGGGACAGGGGTGCTGGGAAGAACTTGGGCCCCATGCCCAAGCAAGCTGCCCCTTTCCATCCTGGACGAACGAGAGCACAGCAGGCCGAGATGGGCCCGCAGTCCCATGGGACCCACCTGCGAGCCACGCTTCCTTCCTGGGACGAGCCCGGGAGCAGGGCCCCCCTGTCTCCCACCCCGCTCCTGGCGTGTTCCGTCACCTGCTGCTCACAGACCCGTCACTTGGTGCAACTGAGCCAAATGCTGGTCAGAAGCACAGGACCCAGAGGCCCGGTTTCAGTTCCGCTTTGCCACCTGCCCGTTTGGGTGCCTGCGAAAGTCCGTGAACCTCTCTAGGCTTAAGGGTTTTGTTTGTTTGTTTATTTGTTTGTTTGTTTTGCTGCTTGCTTGTAGAACAAAAGGATTGCAGCAGCAAGGGTGTGGCAGCATCGGTCTCACAGGCCCAGTCTCTGCTACACTCCCCAGACCGACCGTTCCGGGAAGAGCAGGGTGGCCGCCAGCCAGCCGTGGCACGAACCTCACACTCCCCACAGCCTGAGGGCTAAGCCTGCTGTTGCTGTCCCATCTCGCAGATGATTCCAATGGGGCTTTGGGATGATGTTACTCCCCTGTGTCGTGAGCCGCAGAACCCAGGCAGGCTGATTCCAGAACAGTCCTGCTTAACCCTACCCGGGGATCTTTTCTCTGGTTTATTCTTTACTTTCCAGCTCTGAGGAAAGAGGAACCCACCGGTCCTCGCAGCTGCTGGGAGATGCCGGAGCAGCGTAGGCGCGGAGCCTCCCAGCTGTGCCGAGTCCTGGGAGGTGAGGGCACCTTCCGCGTGAGGCCGGGGACAGGGACGAGAGCAGGCACACGCCCGGGTGCCAGGCAGCACCGGCTGGATGAACGTGTCTGTCCAAGCTTCAGGGGGTTCTGCGTGCCGGGTCTGAAGAGCCCAGAGGGGCTCAGGAGCCCAATTCTCTCCACGCTGGAATTTAAGTCTCAGCAGGGGCCCTCTCGGAGCCACTCCTGCCCTGCACACCACACCCGTGTCCCTGTCCAGGCTGTAGAGACAAAGGATTAGGCAACTGGAACCTGGCTTCAGGTGCGCCCGATCCTGTCTAAGGGGAGCAGGTGTCACGTGGGCCGGGGGCAGGCGAAGCAGGGCCTTCTGGGACACTGCCTGGAACGGGCCTGCGTTTGCAGAGTCTGCGAGTGCCCAGGGGCTCCAAGAGGCTGAGCAGCCCGAGAAGGCACGAGGCGCTGATGTGGGTACCTGCACCTCTGAGGGTGAGGCCGCCTCAGGCAGGCTGAGAAGTGTCACACGCAGAGAGACAGCAGTCCCTGCCTGTCCGATCCACAGTGGATGACCAACAAAACCCTAGCGGGGGCCTGTGTTGTGCGCAGCTGGTGAAGCTACCGCCTGCGACACCAGCATCCCGAACGAGCTGCGATTTGAGTCCCGGCGGCTCCACTTCTGCTCCGGCTCCCTGCCAATGCACCTGCGAAAGCAGAGGAAGACGGCCCAAGTGTCTGGGACCCTGCCACTCGTGTGAAGATTCAGATCGGGTCCCAGGCTCCTGGTTTTGGTCTGGCACAGCCCGGGCCATTACAGCAATTTGGGGAGTAAACCGCCAATGGAAGAGCTCTCTTGCGGTTTGTAACTCTGCCTTTCAAATAAACAAATAAGAAATTTTAAAAATGCTAATGATGATGGCAAAGTTCACTTGCAGGTTACCTTTGCCTGCCTGGAGGTTAACTTTATTTCCCACTGTGTTTTGCAAATACCCACTTATGGGAGAGCCCAATCATTCTGACATTAATGTAAAGCTCTTTGTTAAAAATGGATTTATTTATTTGAAAGGAGGGGGGGAGAAAGAGAGAATCTTCCATCCCGTGGTTCACTACCCACATGGCCGCAAAGGTGTGGGCTCAGCCAGGCTGAAGCCAGGAGCCAGGAGCTTCTTCCTAGTCTCCCATGTGGGTGCAGGATCCCAAGTATTTGGGCATCTTTCACTGATTTCCCAGGTGCGTGAGCAGGGGATGGATCTGAAGTGGAGCAGCTGGGACTCGAACTGGCGCCCGTAGCAGATGCCAGCACTACAAGCTGAGGCTTAACCTACTACGTCACTGCGTCAGCCCCTAATGTAAAATATTGACTTCTGCAAAACTATCATCATAGACTACTTGCTTTTATAAAATTGAAGAGTGTGTCATTTTATATAATTTATTTATTTTGCAATGAACCTTATAACCCAGCTCATCGTGCTAAGACCACATGCAGTAGCAGGGGGCCATATCACGGGCCCTGAAACATTCTAATCCTGGAGACGGATTCAGATGCATTCCATCGAGTGTGAGAACACATGTCGATCGTGTTGTTTCAGACCAACAGGTCTTCATTCTTGAGCTGAGCCTGCCTTGCTGTGCCGTGAGCAGGCACTGAAAGACCCAGGTCGTAGGCTGGGACGGGGAGCTGTGTCCTGGACAACTTCCGCGCTGCCCACGCCTGCTGGGAGTGTCCAAGCCTGCTTTTGCTTCCTAAGCTTTCTACTGGATACCCACATGTCATTTCAACACCTTCTCGACACATTAGGGAGCCATGGTCTTCATCTCCTGAACTGTACAGCATGGGTCGGTCCATGGACCCGATTCCCAAATTTTAAAGGGCTCCTTTGAGGCCACCTGTGAGTTACGGATGGGGACAAGGTTCCTCCAGGGAGACCCAGCCCTGCTCGAGCGCTCAGTGAGAAGAGCAGGCTCTCATCACTCTGTGATGCTTCCTTGTGCGCGTGTCTGTCTAGCGCCCGTTTGTGTGCTTTCTTACCCCTGTCTGTTTCCTCTTCCTTACTCGACCACGCTGTCACAATGAGTTACAAAAGTCAAAACTTCCAGCAACATAAACACTTATGGATTCAAAGAATTTTGAAAATCTGTTGATTAGATTTTTCAGAGAAGTCTAAGTTCCATAGTAAGGTCGTAGACTAGAATAAGTGGGTTAGCGCGGCTTTCGGATGGGAGGTGACAGAACTGGCCTTTTGAACGTGAGCAGGATTTTGCACTTACGTCCTGCTTGAAGTGATTGCTTTCCGAAGGTCTGTCTCGACCTCTGACCTCTGACAGTGCGCTCCATTGGGGAGAACTCAGGTCTGGTCCTGTCACGTCATCCCTCCAAGAAAGATTGCTAAAAAAATAAGAACGGGGAAGGGCATTCGTCCATGATGGCTTCATAAACGCTATTTTCTCTGTCTGAAGAGTTGTTGCCTTGCAAATTATGCCCAGGGAGTTCTGCTGCTTCTGGCGCTCGTTCCTTCAAGATGTGCCAGACGACGACTCTTAGCCGCGCTCAGCGTGGTAAGCTGCGGGGTAGCCAAGATCCAGAGATTCTCCGAGTGAATTCCTGGAAACACACGCCACTGGCAAAGTAGGTCAGACCCATGCTGATGCCTCTGCGGCCACTTTCCTGGTGTGCACTGTGTTTTCATGAAGCCAGGAGCTTGTCCTTCGAGGGCTACCCCACGCCTCTGTCCCGGCCCTGAGCTGGGGGCGGGGATGAGGGCCTGAGAGTTGTCATTCACCTCTGCCCCAGCCTCTGGCCGGGGCAGGGGCAGGGGCAGGGGCGGGTGTCTGCTGCTGGGGGAAACGCTTGCACCTGACAAACTCCACCCCCAGCCACAGCACAGGAAGCAGGCACTGGGCGGCAGCTGAACTTGAACAACGTTTCACTTCCATTTTGACTGAGTTCACCGCGATGCTACAAAACCGAAAATACAGATTCAGCCTCCTTAGCACTCGGGCCCCAGGGCTATCATTCTTAGCTTTCCCTGATCTTCTCACTCCCAATCTCTTCCCTCCAAAAACCACACCTGGGAACCTCAAAAACAGGTGCGAGGACCACACGTCGGCTCTTTTATCTCCACTGGGTTAGAATGTGTCAGCAACTGGGGACGGAGGACGGAGGTCATTTCCTCTGTGTCTCGAATGCCTGGTCCTGCGAAGCCGTGTTCTGAACCCTGAGTACCTAGGAGTCGCCCCCACAGAGCACGATCAAGCGCGCGGTCCTTCCTGCAGAGCCTGGGTCACCGGCGCTAACGCGCTTGGGGTTGCTCAGAGAAGGGCACAGAGCACAGACCGCGATGACTTCACACGGCGAGGCCGGGTCAGAGAGTCCAGCAGCTTTGTCCATGCCGCTTTGAACGCTGCATGGACCCGAGCGCTTTCCCCTGCATCTCCCCACCTTTGTGGGAAAAGCCCTTTTCAAGGGGACCGCGGCTATAAAGAGCATCGTGGCTGATGGTCCCAGAAACTCACCTGGAGCCGGCACACAGAGAGAGATGAGAGGCCAGCATCAGAACAAAATCCCATCCCGCGGAGCGAACTCCAGCGGCTTTTTCTGCTCCTGCCTCCGCTGGTATCTGGCCTTCTGGTAGAAAATGATGATGACCACAGTGGCGACATTGAGAAGAATGACAAGCAGGATGAGCCAGAACGAGTAGCCGTAACTGTGGGTGGAGCCGGTCGTGGTGACTGTTGGGTAAAGCAGCCGGGACAGCTCTTCCGAGAGATGATGGGACTGCGTGTTCCCCACAAACAGCATCATGGCCACGAAGACGAAGGATGCTGGGAAGAAGGTGGAGTTTCGTAAGTGACACAGCCATCCATGTTTCAACATCACTCACCTTCTGACGTTTGCTGGGCATCCACACTGAGGACTGCATTCTTGAAAGCACTAGGGAGGACGTCAAGGTCACACACCCCCTCAATTCCAGGCACAAAATGCTGGCAGCTGTGCAGGGCAACGTGCGACCAAGAGCAAACAGGCAGGCTCCAGCCCTCTGAGAAGCAGCTGGTCTACAGCTCAACCCTAGCTGGTCCACAGCTGGTTGCCTAGCTGGTCCACTTTCCAGGGCAGCACATGTAGCAGGTGTGCTGAGTAGGGGTGGATGTGTGAATGGGAGTCAGTAGGGAAACTGCAGGTGTTGGACGGATGGACAGGATGTGGAACGTGGAAGAGGAACAGCCAGATGGCAGATGGGTGTGCCAGCCTCCACAAGATCCGGTGGGTGGTGGGTGCAGAGCATGGGGGCACAGTGAGAGATGGGGAGACACCACAAGGTTGGAAGCACCAGATACTGAGCCAGGACAGCCCTGCAGAGCTGCGTGTCATTGTCCACGACGCCATGGCACAGAACATCGACCAAGGACGGATCTCCGCGCCCACCTCATTCTAGAAAATATGTGCTTTCTCTTTTTATCTTTCCTTTTTTTGTCTTCACTAGAGAGCATTTCCTAGGCCTCAGAGTGTCACCTTGAGCCTACCAGGTAGGCTGGAGGGAGCAGGGCTCAGGGTGCCCAGCCATACGCTAGTGGACAAGTGGCCTCCCTTCCCTCAGCCTCACTCCTCCGCTTCCCAAGGGGCTCAGATAGACAAGAAAGCAGGTTGCGGGTTCTTAGCGCTGCAGGTGGGATGGGGGTGGAGGCAGGTGCTGGGCGTGGGGCTTTGTTGGCAATGATGAAAATCTTCCAACACTGACTGTGAGGGGCCGGCCTTGTGATACAGCAGGTCGAGGCGACACCTGCGATGCCAGCATCCCACATGGGCAGCGGTTCCAGTCCAGGTTGCTCCATTTCCAGTCCAGCTCTCTGCTAAGTTGCCTGGGAAGGCAGCAGAAAATGACCCAAGAGCTTGGGCCCCTGCACCCACTGGGAACACCGCATAGAGTTCCAGGCTCTTGGCTTTGGCCTGGCTCAGCCCTGGCCACTGTGACCATTTGGAGTGTGAACCAGCAGATGGTAAATCTCTCTGTCTCTCCTTCTCTCTCTCTCTCTGTAACTTCGTTTTTCAAATAAATAACTCTTTAATAAGTAAAAAATAAAACTGCCCGCCTCCGAGACCGTGCCAGCAAGTGCTGCCCTGTGCCCTTGAAATGGGAGCAGTGTGTGATGTGTGTGACTCACACCCCATGGACCCTTGGTGGTCAGGGTCTGGCCCTGCGAATGTGGTCTCCAGGGAGTCGAAAGGGCAGAATTCCCTTAGGCCCCACCCCGAGAGCCTCTTCTGCTGACATGCACACAGGATGTGCAGAAGTGCCCGGATGTGTGGGTGTCAGGGGTGCCGGCTGAACCCCACGTCCGGGCAGCGTTTCCCCACGGCGTCCACAGCCCTGATCAGAGGGTGCTGGCCGGGGGAGATGTTTCAACAGCCCTTGGTGCCAGACCTTCGTCTGCAGCCTCGTGGCTTTGAGTCTGAATTCTCCCCGGCGCCTCACACACCTTAATTACACTCATTTTCCTCTTGTGAAGCTCCGTGTAAAAGCTGACTCATCAAAGAGCAGGACAGACAGGGCGAAACGCTGCTTCCGCGTGGGCGGCCCTGCAAGGCCACCCTGAGGCCCCCTTGGGACGAGATTTCCGGGGTCCTGGACTCCAGGCCGCCTCGGGTGACCGGGCTTCTGCAGCTTTCTAGGACAGAGACTTGACCCAGAGCTGAGGGGGCCTGGGGGGTCGATGAGGAGCCCCCAAAGGCTAGGTGCACCTGCTGGGGCCAGGCTTCCTGTAGGTCACGTGCTTTGCTCTCTGGGTTCCTCAGGAACCCAAAGGCACAGGAGGCAGGAAGTCCACGAAGTTCCTTCTGGGCTGACTCCTCACACTAGGGTTTCCGAAGCAAAGGCGTTATGACGTCACCTATTTTAACACCTCCCATCCTCCTGCGGTCCCCAGCGGCCTCCTCTGCGGCCAGTGTCCAGCGGCAGCAGGCCTGTGAGGACAGCAGGCATGCGGCCCAGGGAGGTGGAGCCGCTGTTCTTCTCCAGCAGGGCCCACTCCTGCTGTGTCAGAAAGGAGCCAGGAACCCGCTCCCTCCCCTGCCCCGCTGGGCCCTCCAGCCTCTGCCAGCCCAGGAGAGTTTGTCCAACCCAGAGCTGGTGGGGTCCGCCACACTTGGCCCTGGCCCCAGGACCTTCCGCAGTCGGCCTGACCCTGCCTTCCTGCTGCCAGGAAGGGCGATCTCAGCCCTCACCGCCGTGAAGACAGGGAGGTGCCCCAGGACAAACAGGGGGCAAAGGTCAGAGTTCCGAGCTTTAGGGTCCCAGGGCGGCAGGGCTTGGGAAGGCTCCCCCCACACCAGCTGCTCCCAGTTCATCTGCCTTGCAGTTTCTCACCCACCCCACAGCCTCTCGCGGGGCAGAACTGACCCTGGGCGGAAGGAAGGTCGGGACCCTGCCTGTCCATCACACAATTCTTTGTGGACAGAAGTAGCCATCGGCCGGGGCCAAGGCTTCTGGCGCCCTTCTGCTGGGCTCTCCTTGACAAACGTGCATCTCGCCTCCACGTGCCACGTCAGTCTGCTCCTGACCCCGAAGGGAAAGGGGCGCAGGAGCCACAGCCAGTGGGACCTGATTCCCTTCCGGTCAGCTCTGACCCTGCGGGCTCCACACCCCACCCCTCTGGCCCCACCCCAGCCTCACTCTGGCATTAGCGCCTGTGTCTGTCTCCTCCAGGAAGCCTCTCGTCCTCCCTCACTGCCCCACAGCTGGGGAAGGGCAGACCCCAACCCCAGCTCCAAGGCGGGCAGCAGTCCTTGGTCAGGGAGCGGATTGCTGGTGAATTCAAAGCTGCCGGTCACAGAGACTGGCAGAGGGATAAGGGGGAGATTCTAGTGAGAGCCGGGCCAGGACTCTCTTGACTGCTGGGAAACAAGTACCCCCCCAACCCCGAGCTGCTGCCATTGGCAATGACCCTGGGGGCTGGCCACCACCCGAGCTTTATTGGGGAGCAGCTGCTTAGGGGCCGAGGAAATCAAGAGAGGGAGTAGGACGAGGGGGCAGTTCCGGGGACCCTGGCTGAAACCCTGAACCCAGCCACGCCTGGGGCCGCTGCTTCCCTGACTGCACAAATCAAAATAAAAGCCATCAATTCTGATTCTTTTCCTTGTCAGCCTCAGATTGGTTTGCCTATGGTTTGGTTACCCTGGGGCAAACTGTAGTCACAGGAATCCCTGGGACAGGGAACCCAGCACCTGGTGAGCCGGTCTGAGCCTGAAACCAAGTCCCTGGGCTGGGAATCAGGGACCCTCGCTCCAGGAACCTCACAAGGTGGGGGCCCCCTCAGGGGCTTGTTTGCTCTCACCAGCAGGGTAGCAAAGACACAGAGGAAAAGGGGCAGCCGCTCAGGCGAGGGGATTCCAAGTAGTGAAAGACAGAATTAAAAGGTCGGTTGTTTCGGGGTAAGGAATTTTTGACGCCCACGTGTAGGGTTTTCACAATATGCGTGTCCGGTGAAGCTTCGGGAAACCCCTCATACGTGAATGTGGCTGGCTCCAAACTCAGAGCCGAAGCGTGAGTGTGTAATGTGACCACAGTCCCAGTTTGCACTGGCAGCCTGGCTTGGGGCTCCTGTCCCCTCCTTGCACTTCCAAATGCTGCCTTCGTCCTCCAGCCAGTGCTAGGCTGCGGCTGCTTGCACATCTCAGCTCCACATTTGGGAACCTTGCACTGGGAACAGGAGAGAGAGTGGTGCAGTGGGCGTGGCTATGCTGGCCAGATCGGCTGAGTCAGTCCGGACTTCTTCCTCTCCTTCCCCCTTCCCCACCCACAGAGAGCCAGTTGTTCACCCGACTCCAGCTCATTGCAGCCGATCACCGTGGCGTGGGGCATAGGTCTCCTCTGGCCACTGCATCAGCCTAGCAGAAGCATGGCCTCCCACCAGGGACAGGAGGAGGCTTCCGCCGGTCCTCCTCGAGGCTTCCTGTCACTCTGATATCGAGAGCATCTTTCCTGTGCTTGACCATTTGAAGCTGTGTCAAGATGCGTCGTGGAAACTTCCACAAAGCCCCCTGGAATCCTCCCCAAGGTCAGGTTTCCGTGGTGGAGAGGGAGTGCGAACAGGAGAACCCTGGCTGCCTGGAAGGTGCAGGGGTCATGGCCAACAAGGCAGGAGGGTTGGGGCTGAGAGGCCCTGGCCCCGCCTCTGGGCAGAGGTGGCTGCTACACAGCCAGGGAAAAACCCAGTGAGGGTCAAACACCCCACGAGTCAGAGTGGGGTCACGGTCCTGCACCCCAACACCCTATGAGTCAGAGTGGGGTCACGGTCCTGCACCCCAACACCCTATGAGTCAGAGTGGGGTCACGGTCCTGCACCCCAACACCCTATGAGTCAGAGTGGGGTCACGGTCCTGCACCCCAACACCCTGCCCTTGAAAGAGACAGCCTGAGTACTTGGGAGATTGATGTTTTCACACTGGTGTTGATGGAGCAACACCCTGAGCTCACGGAGAACCCACAAGTAGGGTGCTGACCAGAGAGCCCCCTAAATGACATAAAGTGTGTCCCCTTGGGAGCCCAAGACAACTCTTGTTGTGTGGAGGTGAAAACAAAAATACACAAGCGTGTGCATTGTGTGCCTGTGTGTGTGCTGCGTGTGCCCATGGGTATGTGTGTGCCTGTGTGTGCTGTGTGTGCCCATGTGTGCATGCGTAGTGTGTGCCCCTGTGTGTACTGCATGTGCATGTGTGTGCATGTGTGTCTGTGTGTGCCCGTGTGTGTATATGTGTGCCCAAGTATGTACTGTATGTGTCCATGAGTGTGCTGCATGTGTACTATGTGTGCTGAGTGTGACTGTGTGTATACTGCATGTGCCCTTGTGTGTATGTGTGTGCCCATGTATGTGCTGCATGTGCCCATGTGTTCATGTGTACTGTGTGTGCCCATGTGTGTACTGCATGTGCATGTGTGTCTGTGTGTGCCCGTGTGTGTATATGTGTGCCCATGCATGTACTGTATGTGTCCATGTGTGTACTGCATGTGTACTATGTGTGCTGAGTGTGCCTGTGTGTATACTGCGTGTGCCCTTGTGTGTATGTGTGTGCCCATGTATGTGCTGCGTGTGCCCGTGTGTATGCGTGTGCCTGTGTATCATGTGCCTGTGTGTGTATGCGTGCCTGTGGGTGTACTGTGCATGCCTGTGAGTGTGCTGTGCGTGCCTGTGGGTGCACTGTGCGTGCCTGTGAGTGTACTGTGTGCCTGTGAGTGTACTGTGCGTGCCTGTGGGTGCACTGTGCGTGCCTGTGGGTGCACTGTGTGTGCCTGTGGGTGTACTGTGCATGCTTGTGAGTGTACTGTGTGTGCCTGTGGGTGTACTGTGTGTGCCTGTGAGTGTACTGTGTGTGCCTGTGGGTGTACTGTGCGTGCCGGTGAGTGTGCTGTGTGCCTGTGAGTGTACTGTGTGTGCCTGTGGGTACACTGTGTGTGCCTGTGGGTGTACTGTGCGTGCCTGTGAGTGTACTGTGTGTGCCTGTGAGTGTGCTGTGCGTGCCTGTGGGTGTACTGTGTGTGCCTGTGAGTGTACTGTGCGTGCCTGTGGGTGTACTGTGTGTGCCTGTGAGTGTACTGTGCGTGCCTGTGAGTGTACTGTGCATGCCTGTGAGTGTACTGTGTGTGCCTGTGGGTGTACTGTGCGTGCCTGTGGGTGTACTGTGCATGCCTGTGAGTGTACTGTGTGTGCCTGTGGGTGTACTGTGTGTGCCTGTGGGTGCACTGTGTGTGCCTGTGGGTGTACTGTGCATGCCTGTGAGTGTACTGTGTGTGCCTGTGGGTGTACTGTGTGTGCCTGTGAGTGTACCGTGCATGCCTGTGGGTGCACTGTGTGTGCCTGTGGGTGTACTGTGCATGCCTGTGAGTGTACTGTGCATGCCTGTGGGTGTACTGTGTGTGCCTGTGGGTGTACTGTGCGTGCCTGTGAGTGTACTGTGTGTGCCTGTGAGTGTGCTGTGCGTGCCTGTGAGTGTACTGTGTGTGCCTGTGGGTGTGCTGTGCGTGCCTGTGAGTGTACTGTGTGTGCCTGTGAGTGTGCTGTGCGTGCCTGTGAGTGCGCTGTGTGTGCCTGTGAGTGTACTGTGCGTGCCTGTGAGTGTACTGTGTGTGCCTGTGGGTGTACTGTGCGTGCCTGTGAGTGTACTGTGTGTGCCTGTGAGTGTACTGTGTGTGCCTGTGGGTGTGCTGTGCGTGCCTGTGAGTGTACTGTGTGTGCCTGTGAGTGTACTGTGTGTGCCTGTGGGTGTGCTGTGCATGCCCGTGTGTGTATGCGTTCCTGTGGGTGTACTGTGTGTGCCTGTGGGTGTACTGTGCGTGCCTGTGTGTGTATGTGTGCTTGTGAGTGTACTGTGTGTGCCTGTGAGTGTACTGTGCGTGCCTGTGGGTGTACTGTGCATGCCCGTGTGTGTATGCGTGCCTGTGAGTGTGCTGTGCGTGCCTGTGAGTGCACTGTGTGTGCCAGTGTGTGCCTGCCGTCCCTCCTAGGAGGCCCAGCTACAGCCCAGGAGGAGGCCTGTGCATGTTGTGATGGTTTATGTGTGTTTCATTCAACTCCTCACACGAGGGTTTCAGAAGCGAGGGCATTACGATGTCACCTATTTTAACACCTCCGCCTCCCCCACTCTGCACATTTGAAGCAGATTTTGCTTCCAGAGACACTGACGAAACGCTGTCGACTGACAAGAGCACACCCCAGCAGCCAGCATAAGACCCGGCACGTCATGGGCCCCGGGACACGGAGGCTGGGAGCCAGGGTTCTCGGGACACACTCACCGCTGAGTCCGTTCCAGGTGTACACCCCCACGGGGCCCAGGAAGGTCTGGTAGGGGTTGCTGACGCTGTTGTAGAACGTGAACCCGCAGCTCAGCAGCGAGGCGCACAGGCTGAGGGCCAGGAACAGGATGGTCACCACATGCAGGGCTTTTTGAGAAGAGTTGTTCAAGACTCCTAAGACTAAAACAGTGTGTGGTAAGTGCGGAGCCCCACACGCAAGTCCCAGCTGTAGTCTGGCGTTCCTCCACACCCAGCCTCCACGGGTGCTGGGCTCAGTGCTGTCGCACGCCAGGGAGAGAAGCTGTGAGCCCCTAACCGGCCCAGGAGCAGCACCCGCCCTCCTCACTGCGTCCAGCAGCCGGGCCTGTGGGTCGGTGAGCGCGACCACCTGCTTCCCATAACTGGACACGCACCCCAAGCTGGAGCTCCCGAGGGCGGTGTGCCTCTCAGAGGGCCCGCACCGCTCCCATTGGTAAGTGCAGGCCCGGGTGCTTCACCACAGTTTTGCCGTAGAGAGTATCCCATGAACTCTGCTTCCAGCCGGACACAGGTAGAGGGTGGGCCGCCCTGAGAACCTGTGCACAGGGAGGACCCCATAGCCCCACGCTGCCAAGGGAAACCAGGGAGCCTGGGGCAGTGAACAGCAAAGACGGGAGGGAAAGGGCTGACGGAGGGGACCAGGGGGGTTCAGCCCAAGGCTGCAATGCAGTAGGATAATGGCTCCTGCAGGTGCAAACCTGGGTGCCAGGCGCTCCTTCCCTGGGGGCAGAGAGCACCCTGGGCCCAAGGCTCCAACACCGGCGGTGATCTTGGCTGAGCTTTCAGAATTGTTTCCAAGCTAAACTCACCAGAATTCCAACAGCGTTTTACCACATCGGCCTTTTCCGTAAACGCAGAGGAGCTGCGGAGGCGCCTACCTCCATGTAAAATGCAACAGTGGTACCCTGGGTCGCTGGTGAGCCACCAGTTCCTGTTTTTGATCTTCTCCGGCTTCTGGCCGCCTCCTCCATCTTCCCTGTGCACCTGCCTCCTCTGCCTGCTTCCTGGCCACAACCCCTGCGGGTGCCTACCAGCTCCCAGTGAGCTCTGTCATGCTGGCCCGCGTGTGCACAGAGCTGGTCTCCGGAAGCCACAAGGAGGAAGGATCTCAGAGAGGATGACACTGAGACTATCGCTGGGCACCCCGAGGCGCAATGCCCGCAGCCGCTGGCTGCGTAAGAACACGCAGGAAGGAGCTGTTTCTGTCCCTGTTTCTCAGGTCCCCAGTGGGAGCACCATGGAGCCTCTCCCACCCCTATCCCAGAGCAGCTCTCAAAACAGAAACCAGACAGCTCAGGTAAGACTGGGCAGGTAGGACTTCCTGTTTCAGGACAAGGCACGGAGCTCCTTGGATGATTTGCCCAGGAGCCCAGACTTTTCCTCCCGGGCCCCGGAGTCTCACTGCACAGGGCGTGGCAGCTTGGAGACCCGGATGGGGCGCTGTCCTCCCCCTAACACAGGTCCCAGCAGCAAGAGATTCTTGGTGAGGCTCCCGTTTGCTCCCCGGCTCTCCTCCAGTGTTTGGGAGTCCCTCATTGTGTGGAGCCCAACCCTGCAGCTGCATAACTTGTTCCCAGCCCTGGCCCCGCTCTGGAACCCCATAAAACCCACGGCCTGCTCCTGCCAGGCACAGTGCCCCTGGTGCATCACCGGCCACATCCCCGAGCGACCTTTGTCAAGTGGGAACCGGGGCCCCAGCCGGCCTGCACCCGGGTGAGCCCGCTCCACACCTCCCGACCTGAACGGACACAGACCCCGAGGAGATGTGACAACCTCTCGGTGCATTTCTGAGCATGTGCACTCCACTTGTTCACTTTGCTTGTGTTTGCTTTCTAGTCGGCAGTCGTCTAACACAGGGTGGGCGTGAGCCAGACGTGGTCAGCAAGCACGTGGGCCAGGTCCTCACAGGTGGGGGGCAGAAGGGCCTCCTGGTCAGTACCCTCACCCACAGGGAGCGGTGCTTCCTGGCTGAGCCCAGAACTGTAGACACCCCCAGGACAGGCGCGGGGAGAGACCCAGGGAAGCACAAGGCCCACAGGCCACCTGAGAGGGAGGGGGAGGGGAGGGGAGGCCAGAGATCAGGGCAGGGGGAGGGAACGACTCCTTGAAATGCCCAGAAGAATGAGGAGCAGAGCGGAAGCGGGGCCCTTATCAGCCCAGGGACCTGCAGACAATGACATCACGGGCCTGGCTGGAGAGCGTTCTACTCCTCAGGGGAGGCTGGGAGCAAAGTTCAGCTCACAGGGACACAGGGACACAGGGACTGCCGCCTGGTGCCTGCAGGGGCCAGGGCTCTGTCGCAATCCGGTTAAGCAGAGCCCGGTTCTGTCTCGGCAGAGCCCCTCGCAGCTGTGCATGACAGAGAACGCATCATCCTGTGAGCTCTCACTTGCTGCTGGCCGGCTGGGGAGGGTGGGAGCCGATGGACCTGGCCCTCTGCGAGAATGGGCTTGAGACCACCACCGACCAGGACGGCTCCCTCCCTGACCTCAGGCCGGGCCTCCCCTCTCCTTCCCGCTCGCTCGTTGTTGGGGGATTTGTGTGGCTCCGAGTTAGCCCAAGGTGAAAGCAGAGAATGGTAGGAGGAAACCACAGCGGGCCCTGGGACACACCTGGCCAGAGGTGAGGCCAGCATTGCACATGCCTCCCTGCTGAGTCACTGAGGCTGGACCCCTTCCCGCCCCACCCCCAGACTCTCCTGTGCTCAGGGGGACAACGCGCTCACCTGGCCACTAAAGGAACTCTGGCCTTCGCAGGTGTGGCAGTGCCCAGGAAATAGTGGGATGCCTAACTAGAAAATAGAGAGCTCAGAGTGAGAAACGGGGCAGGTGCTCAGCCCAGGAGTTAGGAAGCACCGGGGACACTCGTGTCCTGCAGCGGAGTGCCTGGGTGCAAGTTTGAGCTCAGCTGCCAACTCCAGCTTCCTAGTCACGTGCCCCGCGAGGCACCAGGTGACGGCTCAAGTAGTTGGGTCCCTGCCACATAAGTGCAAGACCCAGCTGAGTTGCTGGCTCCTGGCTTCTGGCAGCCCTGGTTATTGTGGGCATTTGGAGGTGTGGACCAGCTGATGGGACATTGATATCTATCTCTTTTGAATAAATAAAATAAGTAAATGGATTTTTTAAAATGGCCAACATTCTGACTTCCTCACAGTGCAATAGAGTTTCACTGCGGTCCGGCCTTGTCCTGGATATTTGTTAAAGCTGCAGTAGGCATCGTGGTTTCCAAGAGGAGGTCAAGCTCGAATCTGTCCTCGCCTGCTTGGCAGTGCATGAAGGGGACAATTTATCTTACTGCTGCCTCGTAAGAATGAAAGGTCCAGCCTTCCAAATTCCCTGCCACCAGGTATGACAGCTGCCATCTCCCTTCTAGCCCCTGCCGCCGGGTACAGAGAATGAGAGCTGCACATTTGGTCGGAGTTAGCAAGAGTGGAACAATAAACCTCACAGCATCTGACAGCTGCTCTCTGCCCACAAAATTAGCACGCGCATGCTGTCCTTGTTCTTCCTCTCCACGGCCAAGCGTCTGCATCGAGAGCACCTCCCAACGGGAGCTGATTGCCCTGATTCTGGGGGTCCCGGGAAAGAGGAAGGGCAATGTGGCCACAGAGGGGCCCACGGGGCCAGCTGACCTGCAGCTGGGAGGCAGCACTGTGCTTCTGGGTGGGGCAGGATGTGTAGACATGAGCAGCATCCCGACAGCCAGGCTCCCCACATGCAGGGAAACTTGACCTTTCAGACCTGCTGGCCATTGGCCCTGCAAGGTCACGGTCTCGGTAAGTTCTTGGACCCTGAAGGAGAGCCAATGGCTCTGGAGTGCGTGGGAACTGCTTTTGCTCCCTCCCTCATCAGCACCTGGTCACCAGGGAACCTGATTGGGTTCAGTTCATTGGAGGCCACAGGATCCCCCTGAAGAAGCTCGTGATGTCGGCAGACCCCAGAGCGTGAAGTGGGAGCTCTCTCGGGAATCCCAGCTGTGCCCCAGCCTCTGGGAGAGCTGCTAGAGTTCTGACCCCTGGGCGGGGGGCACCTGTTTCCCTCTGTTCTCTCGTCCTCCAGGGGTGGTCACAGGAAAAGCATCTCCGCCTATGCGATGGGGCGGGGTGTGCACAGAAGTCAGTGGGCAGGGGCTCTACGCATTCTGGAACAATGAACTGCATTTGTTCTTCCTTTTGCAATGAACTCCTTTTTTTGCAGCAGGGCTATCCTCCTTGGTACTAGCTTGGGCCCATAGTGCAATGTCAAGTTCATGAGAACAAACAGGATGGGTGCAGAAAAGGGACTGGAGGCAGGAGGAGGAGCCCCTGCCCAGTGACTGGGTCATTGATTCAAGCACTTCGGCTTCTGGGCCTTTCTCTCAGCCTCCGCTGGAACCTTATACAAGGCTCATGTACAAGGCTGCTCCAGAGCTGCCCCCAGCAAGCTAATTTCATTTCAAGATTCCACATGCGAGGAACTTAAAGGTGATGCCCAGCACAGCAACGCCCACCAGTGGACCTGGCGGCTGGCTGGAGTAGAGCCAGCGGTTCTCAAGCCCGAGTCAGCCTCCCCTGTACTGGTGCCGCCTAGAAGATGTTGAATAACAAGGAGTTCAGGGCCTCATCCGCTGTGAGTCTCACCGGGGCAGGCAGGGATTCGGTCGCAGCCTGCGGGTGCCCAGACATCTCCAACAAGGGCATTGTGGTCGTGCACAGTGCCCCATGCTCACAACTCAAGTTGGGTCCTAGAGCCAAGAGACCCCCCTGTCACACGAAGAGGGAGTTTCCTAAGTACTTTTCTTGTCAAAATGACCCTGGACAAGGATCTGCTCTGGCCAGCGTGAAGGTGATTGGAGACAGGGTTCCCAGGAACCCCTTATCCTAAGCATGCGTAATTCCTTTTGTCACTCTTCCCGGTGGGAGGAAATATTACACATTATGCTCCTTTGGACCCCAGTTGTATTTGCAAGAAAATGAAGGTAAGGGAGTGACTTCCTTTTAAGGGTCCCATTTACCTGACGCCCCAGATCCCAAGCCAAGGAGGCAGTGAGCTCTCACAGCTGTGAGCTGACGTCTTCCTGCCCACTCAGTTTTCAGGCTCCCGTCCTCAAGGAGTCTGTGCAGACGCGTGCCCCCTCCTCACCCTTTGCTTCCTGGAGAACTTCACACTGGGTGGGGCGGTTTCTCCCTGGCACCAGGCAGCAGGAGTTTCAGGCGGCTCCTCTCAGGACCCGTGCCCCCCACTCACATAGGTGCTCAGAAAGGTTCTGAACTGAAGCCAGATAGCCACGACTTTTGGAGTTACAAGATGTTCTCATGGTGGGCACGCAGGAACAGGCCCTTGTCACTTGGCCGTGGACAACCAAGACTCCTCTGGGGAGCCTGAACAGCCCCGGCACTGCAGGTCCACCCCCAGAGTTTCCTCACCAGGAGGAAACTGTCGCCTGTTGCCTTCCCCACCACAGAGCTGTTGCTGGCTGCATTGTTTTGGTACTGTGAAATCTGCCATTGCCGTTTCATTCTGCTCGCTCATTTCAGAATCTACGGCCTGAACTGGCCCTTGCTGGGCCTCCCCCAGCCACGGAAGCCATGGATCTCAAATTGGTCTCAAAGCCAACAGGCTCCAGACACGGTATGAAAATCCAAACATTTGTAGGCTCTGTTTCTTAGTTTCAATTTTTAAAGCACATCAGGAACTAGTGCACTTCTCAGTTTTAAAAATTCTGCTCACGTAACCATGTGTATGACTGAGCGTTCGAAAGTCTTAGTTTCCAGTGTCTGTGTGGCAAATGTCCCTGCTCCCGGTGGGAAGCTGAGACGGGGCTGTGTGTCCAGGGGAGGAGTGCCTTTTGCTGACAACTAAATGACCAATTTATAGCTTGGAAGCATAACCATGTTGCTTTGGATTCAAGGGGATCATTTCAGAAACCTGAGCTAAAACCTTGAGTGAGGGTCTCGAGCTTGAGCGCCTAGGTTTATGCATTATTCAAGAACCAAATATTACATTTTTATAGGTAGAAAATAAAGCATGTTTATCAGAAATAATGACTTTATAATACTTGATAATGCCCGTATACAACCTGTGTACGAAACTGTTCAGAACAAAGTTCATTTACATCAAATTTTCAGACATCAAGTTTCAGAAGTCAGGTAATAGCTAGATCAACTTATCCTTCTCAATAGAGTTTTACCTTCCATTCATTTAGAAGAGGGTAGTTTTACAAAAAATCTGAAAAAATTAGGAATTCCTGTAAAGTATACATTAATAAACAAAAATCTAATATCATTTCCAACAATTTGTGATAATTTGATGAGAATGTAAGTTCCAACTGGTTAAAGTAATGAACTTGAGAAATATGAGTAAAACGTTGATCATGTGTTTCATTTTTTTTCTCCTAGATAAATGTTACTTACAAAGCTCTGGACAGAGATTATTGCTCCAATTAAAAATTATAGCATTGCTATTGGCTATTGAGTACTGTGTTACCACTATATGTGTTTACCTTATTATTCACTTGTCAATATCCTTGACAGTTACTGTTTAAACTTAGTCACTCCAGATGATTTAGCCCAGAACCAAGGAAGTTAAAAGAACAAAATGGTGAATTTAGCTCATGTCAGAATTGTGAGTTCAACCTGACTTCTGAGTGTTTACTTGGCCCCCAAACAGAAATGACGTTCGTCTCATCTCAACCCTACCCTAGTCATTCAAATTCGCATATCGTTTACCTTCAAAATATTTTGTTGGTTCTTCAAGTCCGAGGTTCAGTTGCTGAATGCTCTCCCCACGAGACAGCCCATAGGTGATGATAACGTTGCCGTCAGAAACAGAGTCCCTAATGCCCACCGTGCTGGTGACCCACTCCTGTGTCCCAAGGACGGAGCAGATGACGGCAGAGGCCCCGAGGCTGGTGAGGAAGCCCGACAAGAACATCAAGGTTTTCGTCGTCGTGGGCATTTTTCAGGAAAACAAGTTCCTTAGGGTAGAGAAACACAGATGGTCTTGAAGTATTTTTGGACCTTATCATTCGGAGTGCAGTATTTAGAAGTGGAGTCTGACACTTGGCTGTGGAATATAAAACCTTGCTCTTCATGGGAAGGGCTATGCTAATGAACACTGAGCCATGAACGTGGCCATAAAGGTTTACAGCAGCTGAACTTTGGCCTGGAGTAAGAAGTTGCTATGGTTACCACCAACCAGCAGGACCAAGGGTAGGCACAGTCTTGCGAGGACTTCCTCAATCACACGATTAATTTGTAATCCTCTGTCAGGTGCTGCGGGAGCAGGTGCAGCCTACCATGTCGGGACCAGACTAGAATTCCTCGGTAACAAGGGGGTAGAGGGTCCGCACTCCCGAAGTGTCACAGCTTCTAGCTGCCAGCAACAGAGGAGCAAAGGCCCCTGGCCTTCAAGAGCCACCCCCCTGGATAGTGATCTGACCCTGACCTTGGTCCTAAAAGGAAACCCTCCAGAGGTTGGCCTGGGCCAAAGGCAGCTGCGGAATGGAAAGAGAAAGCTTCACTCCCACTGTGTCTCAGGCCTCCTGTTTCAGACCTTGTCGGAAACGTGTGCCTTTCAAATGTCCTCGTCCACACTGTGTGCATGCGCGTTGTTTGCACTGCGGTGACTGGAGAGGCCACCATCTCTCTCCCTCTTCAGTTGTCTGATTGCTACAGCTCTTTGTGCCTGTATCTTCACTGTGACATGGCTAATAGCTTATAGACGGTCATTTCTTTCTTTTGGAAAAAAGATTTGTTGTAAAAGCAGTGTCGGGGCTGGGCGCTGTGGCGAAGTAGGTTAATCCTCCACCTGTGGCGCTGGCATCCCATATGGACACCGGTTCTTGTCCCGGCTGCTCCTCTTCCAATCCAGCTCTCTACTATGGCCTGGGAAAGCAGTAGAAGATGGCCCAAGTATTTGGGCCTCTGTACCTGTGTGGGAGACTGGAAAAAGCTCCTGGCTCCTGACTTTGGATCGGCACAGCTCTGGCCGTTGCGGCCATTTGGGGAGTGAACCAGCAGATGGAAGACCTTTCTCTCTGTCTCTCCCTCTCACTGTCTGTAACTCTACCTCTTAAATGAATAAATAAAAATCTTTAAAAAATAAAAGTAGTGTGATGGTGAGAGAGGGAGAGAAGGAGAGGGAGAGAGAGAGAGATCCTCCAACCCCTGCTGGTTCACTCCCCAGATGACCATAATGGCCAGGGCTGGGCTATCGTGCAGCCAGGAGCCTGGAACTCCATCCTGGTCACCCATGTAGGTGGCAGGTACTTGGGCCATCTTCCATTGCCTTTCCGGGCCATTAGCAGGGAAGTGGATTGGATGCAGAACAGCTGGGACTGGGACCAGTGCTCTGATACGGGATGCTAACATTGCAGGCAGTGACTTACTTGGCTGCAGTACAACATGGCCTCAAATGGTCATTTCTGCTCTCAGAGAACCTCCCCCACCTGGCTAACACGTCACTTCTCCAGTGATGAGCACAACACGCCTTGTAGTCCTCTTTCTGCTGTGTCCTGTGATTCTGAAGTGATACTGAATCCACATCAGCGTCCTATATTCTCCTTGGTAGCACCTAGCTAAGTTGCAGAATGAATTGAGAAGGTCTTTCCCAATACAGTAACTGAACAGAGGGCTCCAGGAGGTGGGTGTGTATGTTCTGGGTGCTGCCGGGTCCCAATGTCTGTCATAGAGCTCCCACAAAAATTTGTTCAATGAGTTATTGTAGGCAAGTACACGCATACCCCACTGTTATGGGTGTTTGTGTTGTTTCGATCTTTAGATTATGATTGAAAAAGAACAATGCCTGGGTGTGTTTGCGAAGGAAGCTTTGCCCATGTCTGCTCTTTCCCCTCCTTAGGTTTTGAAATGAATTGAAGGCCGTATGTGAACTTTGAACTGCTCCTGTGCACGGCTCAGTTGCTCATTAGGAAAAGTTGTGATGTGCGCACCCTACCCTTGGTGCAGTGAGTGTGTTGGCATGGCATATTATTGGGAAGACTGATCTTTCTCCCATTTAGATCTATTTTTAAGGCATGGGACAAACTTTCAGCAATTATTTTCTTCTATCCCCTTTGCAGTGTGAAAATGATTTTGTACCATGAGGGGCGAATGCTTAGCCTAGCGGTTCTCATGCCAGTTAAGACTCCTGCATCCCACATCAGAGTATCTGCGTTGACGCTGGCTCCAGCTTCCTGCTACTGCAGGCCCCAGAAGACAGTGAAGCATGGCTCATACGGCTGCATTCCTGCGACCCATGTGGGAGACCTCGACTGAGCTCCAAGCTTCCAGCTTCAGCCCCAGCTGGCCTGTCCATGGCTGGCATTTGGGAGTGAACCAGCAATTGAGTGTTTCTCGCTCTCGCTCTCTCTCTCTTTCCTTCTCTCTGTCTCTCAAATTAAAAATAATAAAAATTCTGTGGCAGGCATATGTTGCATAGCAGAGTACCTGGTTTGAATCTAGACTGTTCTGCACTTTCAATTCAGCTCCCTGCTGATGTACCTGGGAGGCAACAGATGATGGTTCAGGTACTTGGTTCCTGTGATGCACATGGGAGACCCAGACGGAATTCCTGACTCCTGACTTCGGCCTGACCTAGCCCTGGTTTTTGCAAGCATTTGGAGATAAACTGCCTCTCTGTGCCACTCGCCTTTCAAATAAATAAATAGATCTTTAAAAAAGTTGTATCATGACACAAACATTACATGTGCTCATTCAGAAAGGTATTCCAGGGGCCGACACTGTGGCGTGACAGGTTAAGGCACTGCCTGAAGCTCCACCATCCCCCACACAAGCTGGTTCAAGTCCCGGCTGCTCCACTTCCAATTCAGCTCGCCACTGATGCACCTGGAAAGGCAGCAGAGGATGGCCAAGTGCTCCAGCCCCTGCACCCACGTGGGAGGCCGGATAAAGCTCTGGCTCCTGGCTCTGGCCTGGTCCAGCCCTGGCTGCCGTGGCCATTTGGGAAGTGACCCAGTGGATGGAAGATTCTCTCTCTCTCTCTTTCTTTCTCTCTCTGTCTCTCTCTCTCTCTGTCTCCCTCTCTGCCTTATAATTTTCCCTAGAAGTAACTCTGTTCACAGTTAGAGAACAGATATATATACACACACACATTTACTCACACTGTTGTTTTAAAATCAAATCTTAGTCTCTGTTCCACTTTGTAAAATGCTGATAAACATCCCAACGGCTTGCCGTGGCTCTCCCTTCATGCCAACCACTCGTGCGTAGCCCTGTGCAAAGCACCTGGCTTGTTTACACAAGCCCTGCCTGGAGGACCACAGGGGCGCTCAGTTTTTCTCTGCTGCTCCACGGTGGGGTGATGCTCTTCACTCGTCCAGCTCCTGTACCTTTGCGTTGGGAAGCTTGTCACCGCATGTCAACAACACTTAGAGAGGTCACGTGACGAAGGGATGTGGCTTCCTGCGGCTCACGGTTCAGAGGTTCCCAGTCCAAGACCAAGTGCACCCCATTGGCTTGGCCTCGGGTGATGGTGTTCCTGTTGGCAGAGCCCCAGGGCGGCGCAGGACACGGCAGGGGGCAACAGGAGTCTGTGTGTCTGTCTGTCTGTGGTCTCTCTCTCTCTTTATAGGCCACCTGGATCACTCAGACCACACTCTCTTAGCCTAATAAACCTAATCACTCCCCATAGGCCCCGCCTCCAAATGCCATAATTGGATGAATTTCCTACCCTCTCAGTACACTAACACAAGGCTTCAAGGACTAAGCTCCTCGGTTTGCAGAAACAAGCGTGCTTTCTCGGTATTTCCTGGGATAATTCTTCCTTCCTAGAAGGAGAACTGCTGAGTCAGCAAATACGTGCCCAGGGTAAACTCCCAGCAGTGGCACCTTGCAGCAAGCCCTGGCTTTCCACAGGGTCACCGCCACATGGCACTGCTAGTATCCTTGATCTTTAGAGGCTGAGAGATGACAGCTATGCTGTTGGCACTATTGTTCTAAAGCAGAGAGGGAGAACATATCTTAATATGTCTATTTACTCATATAAGGTCATTGTTTATAGTACAGCTTCATTTGTTATATAGAGGTGGTCTTTCTGTGCTGTAAATTGGCAATACTGAACATTGCAGACACACATGTACATGTGTGTGTACTTTGAATGACATGCCAATAATATTTTTCTTTTAAATATTTTTTTAAAAAAATTTAGAGGCATAGTGAGAGAGAAAGAGAGAGAAAGAGAGAGAGAGAGTGAGCAAGCATGCTTCCATCCATGTTTTGCTCCATAAATTCCAACAACGGCTGGGGCTGGGCCAGGCTGAAGCCCGGAGCCAGGAATCTAACCCAGGCGTCCCATGCGGATGACGGGGACCCAACTACTTGAGCCGTCACTACTGCCTCCCAGGGTGAGCATTAGCAGGAAGTTTTCTTACTTACAATTTCTAACTTACAAGTTACTTACAATGCTGAATGAAACATCTGAAAAATGAATTTCTATTGTACTTCAATAACCGCTAAGAGTTTTCCTAGCGTCAAGTGCTGCATTCCATTTAATTATCAGCCTCTCCTCGATTCCTAGAGGTGGCTGAGAATGTACACTGGGTGAGTTGTAAGCCATCCCACAGGGGTGAGGTCCTGTGGTTGTGGCCATGGATGCTCTCATGACAAATGAAGAATTCCTGTTATCCACTCAGATATCTGTCCAAGATCCGGCATTCTTTCAAACAAGCTGGGGGAGGGGCCGGGGCGTGGCTCACTTGGTTAATCCTCCACCTGCAGTGCCGGCATCCCATAGAGGCGCCGGATTCTGTCCTGGCTGCTCCTCTTCCAGGCCAGCTCTCTGCTGTGGCCAGGGAGTGCAGTGGAGGATGGCCCAAGTGCTTGGGCCCTGCACCCCATGGGAGACCAGGAGGAAGCACCTGGCTCCTGGCTTCGGATCAGCACAGTTCCGGCTGTAGTGGCCATTTGGGGGGTGAACCAATGGAAGGAAGACCTTTCTCTCTGTCTCTCTCTCACTGTCTATAACTCTACCTGTTAAAAAAAAAAAAACTGGCCAAACAAGCTGGGGGAAATACGCTTTGCAAAAATGTAAATATTTCTGCCAGACCTTCGATTTCTGAGTTAGGATAGCAGT